AAAAAAAAAAAAAAAAAATTATTCAGATGTGATGCTGCATGCCTGAAATCCCAACTACTCAAGAGGCTGAGGGTGGGAGGACTGCTTGAGCCCAGGAGGTTGAGGCTGTAGTGAGCTGTGACTGTGCCCCTGCACTCCAGCCTGAGTGACAGAGTAAGACCCTGGTTCAAAAAAAAGAAACCACCATGAAATCATGTTTCGGTATAATCACATTTTGGGAGATGTCCCAAGTAATTTCAAATGCACCAGGGGTAGCCTGTCAGTTAAAGAAATCCACAAGGGAATCCTTATTTTTGTAAAGCCTAGAGCCCATTGGTAAAAAGCATCATTACTTCTCTGGCATCTTTCAAGAGTTGTACACCCACACCCGCTGAAAGCAGGGCATGAGTGGCACCCAGGACTCTGGCAAAGGGTCCTCTGACTGGCTAGTGGGGCTGAAGGTCTCCTGCAGAGCACGTATGATCAAGCAAAGCCCCACTCACCCACCAAAACCCATGGCCACCTCCACTCTCAGCAAACAGACCAAGTCAAAGAAAAGCACAGGAAGGGCAAGTGGCTGAGTGGGCACACAGTCATCTGGAGACTGCTCTGTCTTCTCATCTACACTCGAAGATCCTTCTTTCTTTTTTTTTTTTTTGAGATGGAGTTTTGCTCACTCTTGTCACGCAGGCCAGAATGCAATGGTGTAATCTCAGCTCACTGCAACCTCCGCCTCCTGGGTTCAAGCAATTCTCCTGCCTCAGCCTCCCAAGTAGCTGGGATTACAGGTACCTGCCACAATGCCCAGCTAGTTTTTGTATTTTCAGTAGAGACGGGGTTTCACCATGTTGGCCAGGCTTATTTTGAACTCCTGACCACAGGTGATCCACCTGTCTTGGCTTCCCAAAGTGCTGGGATTACAAGCGTAAGCCACCACACCTAGCCTCTAAGATCCGTTGGAAAAAAAAAGTTTTTTTCCTAGGTACAAAGTTCCAATTGTGCTACTAAGGCACAGAGAATTCCAGGTCTTCGTGGGGTCTGCTTGACCTTAGTTGACACCTTTACAAACAGGGAACAAAGAACCCAAAGAGGCGGCAGGTTTACATCAGGCAGCAGGGCCGAGTGCGGAGCTGAGAGGATGCCTGCATCCCTGCACTGGGATTCGGACTGGACTTTCAGTGACAGCCCATGGGGACCCAGGGGCAAAGGCAGGGGGATTCTCAGGGCACTGAGTGCTCCAGGCTCCACACCCAGCATGCTGGGAGCCTCCATGGCCTTAGGCCCTTGAGAGCCAACCTATGCCCAAAATATTGGCAGAGTCAAGTGCCCACCTATGTGTCTGCTGTATTTGTGGGTGGCATCTGGGAAGTTTCTGGGCGGCTGAGACACCCTGCAGCCTCATCTACTCTCTCACCCCACTGGGACAGGGACTCATTTTCCTCCACAGGTTGATCCTCCTCTGTTCGTCAGACCTGGATTCTGGTTGGCTTCATGTCCTGGGGGATTCTGAGAACAAAGCTCCTTCCTTAGCTGGGCTGTGACAGTCCCTTCCACGAAAACTTCTGTTCATAACAGGGTGATCCTGGACACATTCTGTACCTCTCCCCTCTTTAATTTTATCTTCAGTAACTCAGGAATATCGACACCTGTCCTGACCGCCTCCTGCTGAGGGGTAAACTGTGCGAAGTAACAAAGATGCTACAGGAGGAAGAAGGAGCCACTGAGTAACAGGGTGGCCCAGGGCGAGGCCAGGCATCTGGGCTGATGTGCCCGCAGTGGCCAGCAGGGGGAGCGCTCCCCAAACACTAGAGAAGCCTGGTGGCCATCCCTTCCCACACCTGCCCCCAGGACTATCCCGGTCAGGCACAAAGTTTGGTTTCTATAGATTCTGGGCACTGCTGCCCAAACCCTGGTGCCTCTTGGCCACCCCCTGGGAAAAGGGCAAAGTGCAAAGTGATGTGAGCTGTTTCCCAGATACCCTAGTGGTCCTCCCTTCCAGCCAGGGCGTGCCAAACACCATTACTCACCAGTATACTACCACAGTGTGCTTCATGTACTTCAGCAATTTCTTGGTCTCAAACAGCAGGGGGATATCCAGAATCACATAGCGGTATCCTGGGGAGACGGTGAAAAACCCCCAAGTTCAATTCCGCAAGCACACGCTGAGCACTGCTATTCTGGGCCCTACCGTCCAGGGCGCCCAGCAGAAGGGCAGACCTTGCAAGGACACACCCCCCACACGCTCGCCGGTTCAATGCCGTGCAGGGCAGAACAATGCAGAAAATCATTTCTGGATGGCTGATCAGGGAAGACCTTGTAGAAGGGCTGGCACTTGTGTGGGCCGTGAAAAGTGGGCAGGTCTTTTGATACTTGAAAATGAGAAGGTGAGGATTCTAGGAATGAGGACCAGCACAGCACAAGGACAGGGAGGCTCTACTCTGTGGCTGAAGCAGAGGCCTCAGGCCACGTGAGGCAAGGAGGCGATCAGGGAAGGCACTGTTTAGTTCACCTTGATCTTGAATCCCAAGAGTTGTTATTCCTCAGGAAAAACAAAAACACCCAAAGGATAGGCTCTCCCCAAAGAGCCAGGTGCCAAGCTTGGCTGTCTCTACCAGCTCTCCATAAGAGGCTCACATGGGGGTGGCAGCGGCAGAAAGAACCTGCTTCTTCTATCAGAGGTAGACCTAGAGCCAGGGTAAGGCCTGGATCTGGAGGCAGAGGGGGTGATTATGACTAATACTGTATAACACTCCCGCAGGGTAAAAGGCACTGGCTGCCCCTCCTACTACAAGCCAAGGCCAGTCAAGGGCGGCACTCCCACCCACTGTGAGTGAGCACATCCCTAGGCTGCTGTGGGCTACACGCTCCTTGTTCTTTTTAGGCCAGTGACCTCCCAGCATGTGTACCAAGCTGGGAGGGCTCCAGGAAAGCAAGGAGGATGAGGGACAGGGAAATGCTGCTCAGCCCAGAGACCCCAGGCCTGGCTGGGGCAGGAGACTGCACCCCCGGAGCGCCCCACTCCAAACACTTTCAAGCACAGAACCAGATACACATCACACCAATTCCAGGGGTGTCACAGGACACTGGCACTCAAAGTGATGCAGGGACAGTGGAGGTGGGGGTGGCAATCTCAGCTGCTTGGTTTCCGGTTCCCCAGGACCTGCCATTCAGTAAGCCTAGAAGCCCGCAGTTGAACAAGGGTGTTAGAACCATGGGCTCTGATGACACACCTTGGTTAGTAGTGTGACCTCGGGCCCCCTTCTGTGTAAACCTCATCTGTGTAAATAAGTAAAGAAGCCAGGTGCGGTGGCTCACGCCTATAATCCCAGCACTTTGGGAGGTCAAGACAGGTGGATCATAAGGTCAGGAATTTGAGACCAGCCCAGCCAACACGGTGAAACCTGATCTCTACTAAAAATACAAAAATTAGCAGGGCATGTTGGCGGGTGCCTGTAATCCCAGCTACTCAGGAGGCTGAGGCAGGAGGATCACTTGAACCTGAGAGGCGGAGTTTGCAGTGAGCCGAGACCATTGCACTCGTGCCATTGCACTCCAGCCTGGGTGACAGAGCAAGACTCTGTCTCTAAATAAATAAATAAAATAAGTAAAAAGAATACCTTCTTTGGGAGGCCAAGGCAGGTGGATCACCTGAGGTCAGGAGTTCAAGACAAGCCTGACTGACATGATGAAAGCCCATCTCTACTAAAAATATAATAAATTAGCTGGGCATGGTGGCGCATGCCTATAATCCCAGCTACTCAGGAGGCTGTAGGAGGAGAATCGCTTGAACCTGGGAGGCGGAGGTTGCAGTGAGCTGAGATTATGCCACTGCACTCCAGCCTGGGCAACAAGAGCAAAAAATAAAAACCAAAAACCAAAAACCAAAAACCAAACAATAAGACAACAACAACAACAAAACCGACTTCACAGGATGATGGTAAAGATGAAATGAGCCTTGAATAAATGTGAACCACACAGCGCCCTTTAGCAGTCCCTCGCTAGCTGCCCCCAAATGATGGTACTATTGCAGGGGGAGGCCAGCAGTGCAGCGCGCCCCCCTAACTTGGAGCAGGAGCCAAGACTGGATCCTCTCCGGGCCTCTTATCTCCGTCTCCTGCTCAGCTCCCATCACTTCCTCTCCCATCGCGGTTCTGTCTCTGGCCCCTCTGGGGAGTGCGTGGTCAGCTCTTTGGTTCACCAGCAAAGGGCTATTCAGCTGTCACATCCCTCCTGCTTGATAAGCTCTGCAAACCATCCTGACTCTATTAAGACATCCGTCTGCCTACACAGAGAAGTCCCCAACAGCTGGTGATCTTATCTGACGTTTGATTATACCAACTTTGACAGTTGTATTTGTTATACTCATCAGGGAAAAACTGGGACTGTGGAAGCCACAGCTGTCGTCCCCATTTTTCACCTTATCGAGCTGAAAAGAGCTCTCTGGCTTTTATTTAAGTGGTGGTGGCTGGGGAGGCGGGAGGCTGGGTAGATGACACAGTGAAAGAGCTTTGGAGCGGGTGACATTATCCGATGTTTAATTTCAGAAGGGGAGAGCCGCTGCCGCCTTGAAGCCCTGCAGATGTACCAGTAACTGGCCTGGGAGACAATGCAAAAAGGGCAGGAATGAAAGGCAGACGACTTAGTTCTGGGAGGGAGATGGGAGGGGACACTGGTGCAAGATAGGAGGCAGCACAAAGAGCCCAGAGACTCTTTTTGAGGGAGGAGGTGGGGAGGAGGCCTGCAGCGCAGTGCTGAGGTGGCGAGGTGCTGAGATGAGCGCACACATTGCTTCAGCAGGGAGGATACCCGAGCCAGCTCCAGCCCGGCCCGGCCCAGGGAGGGCGGTGGGGTCAACGTCATGGATGTCTGTCCAGTCATCCCTCTTTTGGAGGGAGGTATTGGCCAGAGGGGGATGAGGGTCGGGGGAGGTTCCCCACTCAAGGCATGGCAGAATAAGAGGCTTAGGCATGGTCACAGTGTAAAAGGCTCCCTCAGCCAGGCATGGTGGCTCACGCCTATAATCCCAGCACTTTGGGAGGCCAAGGTGGGCAGATCATGAGGTCAGGAGTTTGAGAACAGCCTGGCCAATATAGTGAAACCCCATCTCTACTAAGAATACAAAACTTAGCTGGGCATGGTGGCATGTGCATGTAACCCCAGCTACCCAGGATGAGGGAAGAAGAATCGCTTCATCCTGGGAGGTTGCAGTGAGCTGGGATAATGCTACTGCACTCCAGCCTGGGTGACAGAGGAAGACTCTGTCTCCAAAAAAAAAAAAAAAAAAGTTCCCCCATGCCCTCATGGAAGGAAAGTCTCAGTGTAGTGACTGACAGTGGGGACACAGGCAGCCAGGCCTTTAACTCGAAGGCCCAGGCTGGAGGCCACACACGCTAAAGGCTGGCAGGCAAATCTCCAGCGTCCCTAGGCCAGCCTCTCGCTGGATCCCAAGCCACTGCCGTCTGTTCTCGCTCCCATTTCTCCTGGGGACTGACCCCATCCTGGACAGTAATCGTCAGGCCACCCCTGTGCAATACTGTCCTGAAGAAAAGGACTTAGCCCAGGTGTGGTGGCTGTAACCCCAGCACTTCGGGAGGGCAAGGTAGGAGGACTGCTTGAGGCCAGGAGTTTGAGACCACTCCGGCCAGCACAGTGAGTTTCCATCTCTAAAAATAAAATAAGATAGAACAGGGCTTGAACCATGGCATATGGCTTGGAAGAAGGTTCCTGCCAACTGGCCCCAGACCCCTGCTTTTCAAACACTCCCCTCCTTTCCATCTGGGCACTGCCTCGCTGTCCCTGCCCCTGTACCTAACTCTCCATGGAGCCTAAGCCACAGGGGACAGTCCCCACTTGGCACCCTTCCCCCACCTGCCCTGGCCATCTTTGTCCTTCCCCAACTTTCAGTCTACAAACTCACTTTCCCAGATGGCTCAGCCAGAACCAAACCTGACCCCGACTGGAGTTTACATGTGTGATAACTGACAGTCGCCGACGTGGACCCTCAGTCCTCCTGACATGCTCACATTGCATTATTTTCTTTTTCTTTTCTTTTCTTTTCTTTTTTTTTTTGAGATGGAGCCTCTGTTGCCCAGACAGGCTGGAGTACAATGGTGCAATCTTGGCTTACAGCAATTTCCGCCTCCCCAGTTCAAGCGATTCTCCTGCCTCAGCCTCCCCCATGTAGCCGGGATTAAAGGTGCACACCACCACGTCCAGTGGCATGAGCCACTGCACCCAGTCTCATATATTATCACTGCTGCACAGATGAGAAAACGAGCTGAGGGCTACATCACTTGATGGGGTCACATAGCTAGAAACTGTCAGGGTCAGCATTTGAACTCAGATCTTACATATAAGATCCATTATTCACTAGCTCTTATTACTCCCATCCCTACTAGAGAAACCAACTTACTTCCTGGAATCATGGCTCAAAAGCCTCATGTGTCTCTTCTCATTAAACTGTCAGCCTCCTTAAGAGCTGAGGGCATGAGCTTCTTTCCTCTGGGGCTGGTATGGGGCTCTGCGTGGAGGGGGTGCCAGTAAGCACTGTGAACTCATCAGCTGGGATAAGCAGCTCCCCTACCCTTGCCAAACTTTCTGCAGAGGAGAAGAGCCCTGGTCCCGGAGAGAGAGGGCATTGCCCCCACCCTGGCCCAGGACCCGGCACTTACCCCGGAGGAAGTACTTGAAGGTCTCCTTCATCATCTCCTTGCGGATCTCAGGGTGGGTAATGGCGTTGAGCAGCTGCCGCCGGTCAGGCTGGTTAAAGATCAGGTCCCCCAGGACCTTGCGATTGATGTCACCGTTCTCCAGCAAGACCTCAGTGCCGAAGACCTCTACGATGCGCCGGTGGGCAGGGTATCCTGGCTGCACGACTGTGGCAGGAGGAAGAAGCTGGGTCACTCCCTAGAGCCTCGGGGCCAGCCAGAGGACCTCAGAGACCAGGGGCAAAATGATGGGAGAACTCAGTTGCCTCTTCCAGGTGGAACAAAAGCAAAATGAGGGGAGAGAAAGCAGTGAAGGAAAAGAGCAGAGTGCACACAGTCCCTTGTGCTGGTAATGGGGCAGAGCTGTTGTAAAAAGAGTAAATAGGGCGGGACATGGTGGCGTATGCCTGTAATTCCAGCACTTTGGGAGGTCAAGGCTGGCAGATTGCCTGAGGCTGGGAGTGTGAGACCGGCCTGACCAACATGGAGAAACCCCATCTTTACTAAAAATACAAAAAATTAGCTGGGTGTGGTGGCACAGGCCTGTAATCCCAGCTACTTGGGAGGCTGAGGCAGGAGAATCGCTTGAACCTGGGAGGCGGAGGTTGTAGTGAGCTGAGACTGCCCCACTGCACCCCAGCCTGGGAAACAAGAGCGAAACTCTGTCTCAAAAAAAAAAAAGGAAATAGAAGAGCAGAGAAGGCAAGCATGGGGCAGGGACAGAAGTCAGACCAGGGCCGACAGGGGCCTTCCCCTCCTCTGGGACTTATAAAAAGGGAAGTGTGGAAGAAGGCCAGAAGCACTGGGAGCTGCTGTGCCTGACCCCCCAATCCGCCCCTCCCACTCACCGTGTCGGGCCATGACGTCCACGTCAATCACCGCACAGCCCAGCTGCTGGAACACCTGGATCACTGAGCTCTTGCCGGAGGCAATGCCCCCAGTCAGGCCCACCAAGAACATCTTCCCAGGAAAGGGCTGTCCCGAGACTGCGGAGCCAGGAGCCGAGGAATCACTAGAGAGAAAGGCAAGCGTGGCCGATGGGGGCGGTCCACCAGAGGAGCACCAGAAGGACCTGCCTGACAGAGGCCAGCGACCTGATCAGTTTGGGCCAAAAGGATTTGGGAAGAAGAGGCAAAGGAAGAAAAGGGAGACAGCCCGGCTAGGCAGGGCCATGCCCTGAGCTTGAGGTACTCTGGGGCCATCTGGAGAGGAAAAACCCTCCAGGAAAGGCCTCCAGTATTCTTTAAAAAAACACTCACAAAGAAGGCAAATGTGGCCGGACATGGTAACTCACACTTGTAATTCCAGCACTTTGGGAGGCCAAGCAGGTGGATCACCTGAGGTCGGGAGTTTGAGACCAGCCTGGCCAAGATGGTGAAACCTTATCTCTAGTAAAAAAATACAAAAATTAGCTAGGTGTGGTGGTGTGCACCTGTAATCCCAGCTAGTCGCCAGGCTGAGGCAGGCGAACTGCATGAGCCCAGGAGGAGGAGTGCATTGCAGTGAGCTGAGATACTGCCTTTGCACTCCTGCCTGGTGACAGTGTGAGACTCTATCTCAAAATAACAACAAAATGCTGAGCAGGCAGGGCAAGGGCAGGTGCTGTTAGGCAGCATGCTTCCTGGAGGAGGCAGGATTCTGTTGGAGGCCAACTTCCTATAGGAAGGAGGCATCTGTCTCTCTGCGGTGGGCCCATGTAGGGCTGTTGGCCCCTCAGGGTCGTGGGTGTCCCTTATGCTGTGCTGAGGTGCAGGATCCGAGAAGTAAAGAGAGAGGACACTGAAAGAATGGAGAAGAGCAGCTGGATTCAAGGCGCCACGCCACTTATGAGCAGAGACAGGTGAGGCCCCGAACGTCCAGAAGCATCTGTATTTATTATGTACAAGCAGCGGGAAGGGTCGTAAGTGAGGTCATTATCTATAGGCTTAGTGATAGGGCATACATAATCATGTGAGTCACAAGCGAGGGGGCCACCCCATTATGTCACCTGGGCAGAGAGGTGGGCTGTGCACAGTAGTAGAGTGTCGTGTACGGAAAAGGGGTCCACCCCCATTAGGTCACAGAGGCAAGGAGGTGGGCTGTGTGCAACAGGTGTCCTGCACAACACTTCTTTATCTGGGGGCTGGAGACGTCAAAGGATTTCTAATAGAAAGGTACTGTAAGCCAATGCAGTGGGAGCTGACAGACTTGTGCCCTTCTTTAAGATATTTATGGGAGGATGATTTGAGCTAGTACAGAAGAAAGAAAAGGCTGACAGGGTGTACAGCCACCATGACCCAGTCACACCAGAGGGGTTCTTCTCCCTTGGTTATTTGCAGGATCTCAGGCCTGAGGCCTACTTTCCACAGGAACTGGATACAAGGTACTACAACTCCTTTATCAGGAGGAGAGGCTCTTGCTCCAGGCCTGCCATACAGCATATGCCCTTTCGGGCAGGGACGCCACCGCCTGGGTCTTTGTTTGGCTGTTTTCCCATGTACTGCTTCTGCTTTGTGGCTGCTCTAGGCATTCCTCCTACTACAAACTACTATATGGTTATAGAGAAGGATTTTATAAATCAGCATTAAATGTGTCAGTACAGCGCTGACTACAATACCTATATGATTATAGAGAAAGAGTATACAAAATTAAGTATGCTAGATATAAGTACTAAGTATGATTGTATAAGCTAGATATATGTAAGCAGTAAGTTATACATCAGGCATTAATTTTATAAACTAATATAAAGGATTATATAAAGGAAATAGCTGAGTAATAGCACTATAAACTAAGATATTCTTCAGGCACTATTTGTGCCTGGGGTTTGCACAGCTCTCCTTCCGCAGTGACCATATGGGGGGTTACCCACAGGCCCACGGCACTCTTCAGATGCCCATGGGTCCCCCTGGCCTCTACTTTCTAGTTTAGGAGACTGGGGCTCATAGGGAAGAAATGGCCTGCCTGCAGCCACCCACAGAAGTTGCAGGAGAGACAAATAAAGTCCAGGTGCCTGGGCCCTCTTTTGCCCCAAAGCCTCCTCCCCATAGATGGTCCCATGGATCACTCCCCCTTGAATGCAAGCACTAGGACTGCCTGGGTGGCTGGTCTAGATGGAGACGCACAAGCCTCCTCTTCAACCAAGAAGTGGCCCAGATGAGGAGCTGAGCCGCAAGCAGCGGCTGGGCAGTCACTATGCCTGAGGTTTAGAAAAATACGGGTCTTGCCAAGAAGGAATGTGAGGGAAAGGCCAGGAGGCTGGGTGATGCTGGTGGTGTAACTCTGAGCTGGCATTGCAGTTTGTGGCTCCCTCAGACTGAGCAATGGCAGCACAAAGGTTGGGGAGTGACTTCTTCATAATCAGCTCCTCCACTTAAGTGCAGTGCAAACCACCAGCAAGTCGCTTGTCTCCCAGAACCTCAGTTTTCTCATCCACAAAATGAGATTTTATGGATAAGATTACTTTGGCTGGGTGCAGTGGCTCATGCTTGTAATCCCAGCACTTTGGGAGGCTGAGGTGGGCGGATCACCTGAGGTTGAGAGTTCGAGATCAGCCTGACTAACATGGAGAAACCCCGTCTCTACTAAAAATACAAAAATAGCCAGGTGTGGTGGTGCACACCTGTAATTCTAGCTACTTGGGAGGCTGAGAGGCAGGAGAATCGCTTGAGCCTGGGAGATGGAGATTGGAGTGAGCTGAGATCACTCCCCTGCACTCCAGCCTGGGTGACAGAGTGAGACTTCGTCTCAAAAAAAAAAAAAAAAAAAGAATATAAACAAAAGAAAAAAAAAAAGAGAACAGAAAAAAAAAAAAAAAAAAAAGAAAGAAAGAAAATGCATATGCAGCCCATGGTATGTTGCCTGATAAATGTAAATGCCCCCAAAATGGAAGTGAGGATAGTGATACAGGGTGAAAAGCAGGAGTTACAGTTACATTGCAAGGCATAGAAAGAAAAAAAAAAAGACTTTCATGAAACCATGTCCCTATTCCTCCAACCTCAGACTGTCACACCATAGACTTTTAGAAAGTCGCCGTGGTGCATTTTCTGGAGTGAATGAGGTTAACATGTCTTGGACTTTGTTCCCAGGCTAGAAGCAATTAAATCAAAGGCCAGGCCTCTCCCTCCCTTCCTTCAGCCTCAAATCACTTCCCCAGGACTGTGAATTCTGTCACAGGACTTTTTTTTTTTTTTTTTTTGCTGTTGTTAAGCAGCAGATTTACTGTCCCAATTACACTTAGTTTGAGCTTACACTGAAATGAGTTTGCCTCCCGTGAGGACGTACCAAAATGACGGGGGTGCGGGCGGGGCAGCTGCTTGGAAGTGGCTGAGTTGGTGCCTGGCTTGGGGCAGCAGGGGGCCAACCTAGAAAGTGAAATCTGCCACTGCTTATTCTCACCCAGGAACGCCGGGGCGGAGAGAGGAAACTGTCCACCACAGAGTCATCATCCAAATGGAGAGACCTAGCTACATTATTCAACGGTTTAACGATCATTTCTAGACCATGCACGGAGCTCACGCCTGTAATCCCAGTGCTTTGGGAGGCTGAGGCAGGAGGATTGCTTGACACCAGGAGTTCGAGGCCAGCCTGGGCAACATAGCATATTATTATTTTTTATTCTTAAAAAAATAATAATTTCTCCTCAGTCTGAGGCTGGTGATCTCCCTCCAGGTTACAAAAAGGACAGGGTTCAGTTGTAAAAACAAGCAAACAAATAAAACAAACAAAAAATAAAATGTCAGCCATTCAACTAAAGTTTTGGAATAGAAAATCTAGCAAGAACTTATTTTTTTTTTTTTTTGAGATGGAATTTCACTCTTGTTGCCCAGGCTGAAGTGCAGTGGCGCATCTTGGCTCACTGCAACCTCCACCTCTAGGGTTCATGCAATTCTCCTGCCTCAGACTCCCAAGTAGTTGGGATTATAGGTGTCCACCACCACGCCCAGCTAATTTTTGTATTTTTAGTAGCGATGGGGTTTCACCATGTTGGCCAGGCTGGTCTAGAACTCCCAATCTCAGGTGATCCACCTGCCCCGGCAGTTCTGATATGTAACAGGGCTCAGAATAAATTCTAACTCTTCTTTTTTTTT